TGTGTGTGTGTGTGTGTGTGTGTGTGTGTGTGTGTGTGTGTGTGTGTTTTTATGTGTGATTTTAGATCTCGGTGGCGGAGCGCGGCGAGCTGGTGCGGCACGGCGAGCTGACGGTGTGCGGGGGGCCCCGGAGGAAGCGGTCGGGCGTGAGGAACGTTTTCCTCTACCAGCACGCCGTCATCTTTGCCAAACAGAAGAGCCCCGGCCCGGGACGCACCGCCTACAGCTACAAACACAGCATCAAGGTGCGTCTCTCTCACTGTGCTACACACACACACACGCACACATCATCTTTATCTCCCGACTGAGCGCTCTGTGCTTAAAGAGTTCTGAGGAGAAAATTCTCTCTGTATAGATTAAATTGAGAGCAAACTTAATTTAAAATGTATTTTGCCTAAACTTTTTCGGGCCAATCATTTTAGCCCTGAGTTTTTTTTTAAATTCTGTTTTATTTTCGACTTTACATGTTGTCCTCTCCTGCCTGCAGACCGGCGAGATGGGTCTGACTCAGAGCGTGGGTGGGGAGGGAGTGAAGTTCGAAGTTTGGGTCCGGCAGGCTCCTCGAACCAGAGACTGCGTCACGCTGCAGGCGAAGGACAGGGAGGACAAGGCGGCCTGGACTCGTGACATCGCCCATCTGCTGTGGACACACGCCATCAACAACACGGGTACATTCTGACCTATGACCTCAGAGGCCTCAACTTTAGACTCACACTCCAAAAAAAGATCAAACTAGCCGTATAGGGGGTTCAGATGAGCGGTGTTGCAGGTGACTAGTGCCATCGGTCAGCGTCACGGTGCAAAGACTAGTGCGTTAGACGCTCACCGTCAGCCGTTGAAGACAAATCTGATTCTGTGTAACTTTATCCGGCTTCTCTACTTCCCTGCAGAGTAGAGAGCACATAGAAACTATCAGCACCGGTCCAGTCTGCCGCTTGATTGCTGTTCATTTGTTAATGCCCAGCTTTCCAAGCACTGCTGCGTATCCCGTGTCATATCCACCTCCTCGTATGGTCTCAGGGTTCCTATAGGTGGTTCAGGTTACAGTATCGCACCGGAATAAGTTGCACTGCAGCTGGAATAAATAAAAAAGGTGGCTGATGCATTTTAGACACCGTTACTTTGTGTTTCCACATACCCGAACAATAAACAAAGCAGTTCTTCCCTTATGCTGAAAGAAAATCATTATACTGTCATGTGCTTTACATAAAAACATCTTGTCGAGTACATTATATGATTTCTGTGTGTGATTTTGTGCATTGTTGTGCGTTTCTTCTCCCAGAGTTGTGTCTGAAGGAGTCCCTCTGCATGGGGATCTCCAGTAAGCTGCTGCTGGACGCGACAGGGACTCAAGGCTCAGAACTGGACTCCATCTACAGTCTTAACGACAGAGGTAGATCTCAAACACAGGGAATGAATCTGTAACACTTCTACAGTACGCGTGGGATGCTGCAGGCACTATGAGAGCCCTATGAGAGCCCTGCGCTCTTAGGGGAGTCGCGATATGGTTATACTGAGGGGAAACTCTTTGACCTAAAACTGAGCTGCCACGTACAGGCAAAACACTAAAACAACACTTCATCTTCAGTTCAAACTGGGGCTTCAGGAAGTCTGCAGGTTTTGCGTGACCAGAAGGGATTACTATATCGTTCAAATATGCTGAGAGCGATGTGGCCCTGAGATTACAGACAGGAAACTAAACGGGTCCTCGGTGCTTCTCTCCCTCTGACAAGGAAAAGAGGTGGTAGGGTTTTTTGTGTGTCAATCTGGCGCCCCCGGGCTATTCTATGAATTTTTGATATTTGACTCACACTGAGACATTTTGAAGAGCTCTGACATGCCTGCAGAGAATATGTAGCACCTTTTACTTTTGCTATGATCAAATCCCATCACATCCTTCAGTCCTGCTTCCTATAGTACCTATAAACACGGTGCACCGTTTACACAACTACTACAGATGGACATTGCAGTTCTTGTATTTTTATTAGTATGTATATTAGCGGTGGTACTGTAGAGGTATTGAGATCCTTTACTTTACGTTACTATGAGGAACTTTTAGTTATGAAACTCTCAATGTAATACTGACGCCTCTATATGACCGACTAAGTAAACAAGAGCATCAGCGAGAAGATTGGCTATTTCTATATAGTTATTCTTAATGGTTATCATTGGGGCCGCTGGGTCGGATGCTCTGCCGGGCCCCGCTGGGAGCCAACACAGACACCACGCTGCTGGAGACCCGGACCGTATTGCTGGGTCCACTGGAGGGAAGAGAGGCACCGGAGAACCAGAACCAGGACTGAGAGGAGCAGACTGTCAGACCCTGCTGAGAGGTTCTCTAAAAGGAGTCTGGTGCTCTGAAATACTACCAGTTTTGACCATATTGCCCCTCCTTATTCCTGTAAACATCCCACCAAATACTTCAATATTTTCTAAGTAGCTAAAATGATCACAGAAGTCCTCTCAACGATCTGAAACAACAGTCTAAATATGTGTTTAACGTTCAGTCAGTGATATCAATTAAGAGAACTCTGCCAAGTCCACGAACCAAAACACACCCCCCACCAACAGGTTTCCTGCTGAGCACAGCGAGTACAGTCAGGACTTTACCAACTGAGACAGAACCAAGAGAGGCAGGTCACAAAAATAACTCCTGGAACACACGTCACATACCGACGCTATGTAATCCTAGTACAACATTTGCAAAAGGTGCGTCCACAGGGTTGGAATCGTTACTGTGATTCCTCAGATTCCAGCTATCCAGTTCTCCCAGAGGCCGCTGCCGGCCCGAGAGCCAAAGTGATTTCCCATTCCCAGCTCGGTGTAATGCGCATACTGCTCACCAGGTGTCTCATTGAGCGCATGCAGCTCAGGATTTCAATGCATGAATTGTCCCCTGGGACAGAACGCTGTGTTAGAAATTCATTGAACGGGATGAAGAAAAAAAGAAAAGAAATGCCTTCTCTCTCTCTCTCTGACTCCTCTCTCTTTGTCTCTCCCCATTTTTTTTTTCCATCTCAAGAAGACAGTGATTTCTCTGCATTGCAAAAGTGCACACACCCACACACACACACACACACACACACACACACACAATACAAAGAATATGTGCATGCCAATCATGCCTGAATGCAGGATTGATATGATTATTTGACATTTGATCCACTACCTGGAGCAAAAAACAAAAGCTATTCTAAGTGTCCAACACCTGCTAGATATGCTGTATTGTGGTGCTATCTGTTAACCTATAACCACCTCTCTCTCTCTCTCTCTCTCTCTCTCTCTCTCTCTCTCTCTCTCTCTGTCTCAGTCCACAGTAGCTGCTCAGACTCCTCCTCTGTCGGCAGTCAGAAGGAGGGGGGATCCCCGGCGTCTGGGAGGGACCCCAGAAGAAGCTCCGGATCAACAAGTTACTCCCAGGTAGGGGGGAGATAGTGGATGACAACATTTTTATTTGCAGAAATGACTCAACGGCAAATATAGATTTGAAGTGGGAGGAATGTGAAGTGGAACTGCAGGCTTTTCTTTTCAACTCAGGAATCTGCATTCCCAAAAACAAAGTTTCTGATAGGACTTTCAGATGGTCCAGTAACTGTGAAGATGAGCCTCGAGACTGCAAATGAGTCCAGCATTCTTTCAAACCACGCACTGGTTGTCACTAGTATCACTTCAGTCAGCCAACTCGCATAGAACGGGGCTATTATGTGAACGCGGAATATGGACAGCGTTGATATTTGGCACTCCCCAAAAAAAAAGACACCAAACTCAGCAGAGCCCCGTGGGGGAGTGAGGATGTTAGCGTGGATTCAGAGCCTCCAGGTGGATGTTGGGCTGTAGGGGATAAAGGAAGTGCTGCGTGTGTGAACAGAAGCCACCATGTCAGAAGCAAAAGGTCAAAACGTCGCAGTAAATGACAGCAAGTCTAAGAGCGAGCTACTATTGAAATAAGTTATTTTCTTACTTCGTGCTTCAATTTTGAAGGGCAACACTTGCATCTGCTCGTCCTTTTTTAAGTTGGATGGAATCCATGTGTTTTCTTGGTGAATATGTTAAGTGTAGGTTGCTTCATGACTGAAGCAAACCAAACCCCCCAAAACACTTAAGCAGGGTGCGTCCCTGTGGGTTAGCGGCCATAAAACTGCAACATTTGAATCCGTCTCTCCCTCTTATTCTGTTTCATCTCTCTACTAGTAGCGTCAAATGAAGGTATAAAAACACTTTGATCGTCCACCTCAGCATGTCATCTTTTGAGAATTTTGTGCCCCCCTTCGATAGCAGAGAGTACAGAGGAACGGACAAGGAATGAGGGGAGGGAGAGTAGGGACGGCCTGCAACAAATGTTTGTTGCACAAAGCACCAATCACGTGTTGCATATCGGACAAGATTTGTGTTACTCGTGCAAAAATAGGGAACTTAAATGTCCCTCGGCGGCTGTGGAACTGCGGCCATTTGATGTTCGAGATTAGCGGAGTCGTTGCGCGACAACCGCTACAGTTTCAGTGATTTATGTAATAAAAACAGGTGTCCTTCAAACAGCAAAAAGCATTTCTATACTTTAGTAAAGCGAAGACGGTGAGTGTTCATCTTCGTAGCTGTGAGGAAACAGCAATACCTGCCTTCATGCCTTTAAACTCCATGGTGGAGTTTAAATGAATTTGCTCTGTGTGCGCGCACACACACACACACACACACATTCTCTCAATTTCCTTATCTAGCAAACAGAATATGACAGATTGGCAAACAGACTGCTCTGGGAACAGATTGACAGACAGACGGACACACGCAGCCCAAACAGATAGGGCAAACACACAGAGACAGCGATACGCACATATTCAACAACAGAGGGAGGATTGCCGCTTTGCGCCCGCGCACGCGCACACTTTGGCACGCGCCCGCACACTTAAGCGCAGAATACAAAAAAAGAAATGATGTGACTGTTTCTGTTTCTTCTTTATTCCTCCTCAGAGTCAGTCTCCCTCTACAGCCGTGTAACTGTCATCTCAATGAGAGTAAGTTACTCGTTTTATTACACGTTTCTTTCATGTTTTTTTTTTGTTCCTCTCTCTCTCTCTCTCTGCTGTTGCTCCCTTTATGTCGCTGCTAAAAGTCAATGCATCCCTGCATCGCTCACTTTCTGATTTTACACCTTTTACTGATTATTTTTCTACTGAGACACATCTTGAAGAATGCTGAAGATGTAATATTTCTTTTCTTTGTGTCTCTTTCTGTAACTTTTCTTCAACCAGAAACTGGACCCTGGACCTTTTTGTTGTTGTTGTTGTTTGAAGATGTACACATCTCTATTCCACCTCTGGGACAAGCCAAACTGGACTTCCAGGAGCAAGAAGACAAAAGAGAGAGAATCTTTTTGAACTTCACCCACATGCTTTGCCCTCCTTACCCCTTTTTCCCCCCACCTTTCCCCTTCACCTCCTTACAACAAATAAAATGCCAGCAGATTAGCCGAAAGCGGCTGCTTCGCCTACATTCTAAACCTCCCGGCTCTGATATGAACCCCACGGGATAAAAGCTGCCTCCAAAAAAGAAAAGAAAAAGGATCAAAACTGCTCTGTTCAAACCATGACAAGCACCAGCGGGGCTCTCCGCCGCTCTCCGCCATTTTGGATCTTGCCAGTCTCAGTTGCTGGCAGAGTCATTGACACCAAAGGCACTTCAGCCACACAGTGCGACCATTGTCTGCCCCGCGGCTCCCCACTAGGCCAAACCACTTGGTCTGAACCACTGACTGCCCCGCTGGCTGACTGTACGCATCACATGCTCCATCATCTGATAATGAACAGGAAGTAATATGCAGGGGCGTAAATCCACCGTCGGATTGCAGATTTGGAATGTATTATGTACTTTGTCATTTTCACAACGCCGATTGGAATACTGTAGGCTTTTTTTTTGTTGCCTCTTGCCTGCGTAAAAATGCGTGGCATTGCTTAGGTGTGATTGCATCTATGTAAATGAGGCAGGGGTGGTGTGAGCACACACACAGTGTCCCTCAACATGCAGTCATTCTTATTGTTATAAGACAGTGGAGCTCTATTCACGTCCACATGCTCACACACACCCTCGCTGTGGCCGCTTTAGAGCCTGGTACAGCGGCTAAATCAACAGCAGGCAAGGTTACATCTGATCACACACACAGTAAGCTCTGACGGTGTCATAACTGGCTGTTTGTTTAAGCTAATGGTGTGGTATTAACAGTGGCAAGGACTTAAGGCGAAATGGTATTTAGTCTTTAAAGTATAACTTAAGTCCACAACGCAAGCTTCTTGGTGCTTTTTGATACTATACCTTTTGATATAAGTTCCATATTCTAAGTGCCAAAGGTATAAAATGGGTGTCTGTGCAATGTTGATGTGTCTACAAAGATGCGTTGTCACATTTAGTCAGAACTTTCCCCCGATCTCCATAAAATGGCGAGAGGTGGATCCGTTCGATGTGCTTTATTCTGGTTTTACTGGTTTCTGTGCTTGCGGCCGGAAGACATGAATTACATTATTCTTAAAGAGTTCATTTTTTGCTCAAAGAAAGAACGGTTTCCGTGTCCCCGAAATGTCTCGTCTCAGCCTCTGGTTGAGAGTTTTTTGAGTTTCAAGATGACAGTCTGAAGACGTCTGAGTGACGTGTTCAAAGCCGATTGCGATGTCAGGGGGATTATTCTATCTTAGATTTTTAAAGGAATAGTTTGACATTTTGGGAAATATTGTCACCGTCTTTACCAGGACTTAGTTGAGAAGATAGCATAGCTTAGCTTAGCATCAATATTGGATACAGCTAGCCTGCCTCAGTCCAAGGGTGACAACAACTACCTGCCTGTGCCTCCAAAGATCCAACTAACACCAATCAACACATTATGTCCTGTTGTTTTATCTGTAGAAGTAATGACAGCTCGTGGGTGGGCACAGTAACTTCCCGGAGTCTTATCGTCACTGTGAGGTTGTGAGAAAAACAAATCAAATTATGTGCCCCCTGAAAACACTACATTTCATTTTCACATTTGTTTTTTTGTACAAGTTAAACAAATTAGATATAACATGTTTTTTGATGAGTTTAAGAGGTGCTGGAAGGCAGATTTGGGTTAGTTAGAGCTAGGCTAACGGTTCCCCCTGTAGTCTGTGTGTGCTAAGCTAAGCTAAGCTAAGCATCTGCTGGGGGTAGCCACATATTGACATTAGAATAGAGAGCAGTATCAAGCTTTCCACCCTTCCAAAGAAAGTGAATGAGGGCATTTCCCGAAATGTTGTAAGTTTTTCTTTAAGATATATCTCAAAACTAACGAAACACGTGACAAACATAACTTCCACTTGCGAAACACCAACTGAACCGTTTCCTACTCTGTCAGACTCAGTAGTCGTGAGTCTGTTAGTAGAAACACATGTGACACTGTAATGCTTGTAACATGAAGGCTACAACATATCTGGAACCTATTGTTTTGTGTTATGATGCAGCCAAAACAAAAAGCTATCAATATTTCACATAATGATGTAGTTCATATTTTATGAAGGAAAGCATATACAGCCAGTAAGACCAATCATCAGCCATGACGGGATAGCATGTGTTTCAGTATTAAACAATATAAGACGCTTAAGGTACAATATGAAACCATCAGGTAGCGGGTTAAGCTCGCCGCTGCAGACGGCTCCGGCATCAGATCGTTGCCGTTATCAGATTTAGCACGTTTCACATCTGCATTTAAATTCAAAAAAAATTGCAAATGGCTATTGAGCCGTTTCTGAATCAATATCTAATTTGTTGGCTCGGAGAAGGCCCCAGCACACTCCGGAGCCTTATTGGAAGCGATGTAATGAACACCATCGTTCATTCTTACCGCAGTATGGATTGTCATATGCAGAACCCCCCCCCCCCCCCACGTTTGTATGCCGTGGGAGAGACGGTATTAATGTATAGAAACTCTCCTCTCGCTCGCTTCCTACGACACACTCTGCCTGATGTTTACATGTTTGGGGGGGAGGAATGTCGAACGTGGAATGTTGGAAATGCATGTTATGCTTACTTGATAATTGTACTGTGTTTTTTTTTTTTTTAACTTTTCTGTGTTGAATTAAAACTGGATCCAAGTTTCAAATCTGTCTCTGAGGGGATTTTCAGGGGAGGACGGGGGGAACTTTGTAGCAGGTCCAACCTTAAAAATGAGGCCTGTAACCGGGCAGCCTTAAAATGAACGGGGTTCTCTTCTGCAAAAAAAGCCAGCTGTGCTTCCACCAGACCTCACAAAAAAACCTCAAATGATGATTAGATAACTGCATGTGCAGCGCCCTATCAAATAGTTGGAGGGATCAAATTCTCTAAAGGAGGGAGGGCAGTCTGAGAGTGTGTGTGTGTGTGTGTGTCCATCTGTGCATGTGAGGGATATAGAGAGAGGAATGAGAGATAAAGGGTGGTAAAGTGGAGGGGGGGGGGGGGGGGGAAGGGGGGGAAAGGGGGGGGGGGGGGGGGGACAGGAAGGGGCAGAACTGAGGGAGAGGGAGAAAGGGAGCGACATAGGAGGACAGGAGACAGTAGGTGGGAATGATGGGAAATGAGCGAGGGCGAAGGGGCAGACAGACAGAGAGGCACAGTCAAGGGGAGAGGAAAGGAGCACGAGGGGGAGAGGAGGCAGCGAGGGGAAAAAAAGAGAGGAAGAATAGCGAGGGGGGGCTTATAGAAAAGAGGGAGACACAAAGTAGAGTTGGAACTTTTCTCTCTTTTTGTCTAATGGAGAGAACTAAGAGAGGGCCGAGAGAGAGAGAGAGAGAGCTGCAGAATGGATGAAGGAGGGAGAGAGAGAGAGAGAGAGAGAGAGAGAGAGAGAGCGGGGTAAAAGGGGGGATGTTGACAAAGCAGCGAGACTGTGGCGAACAAAGAGAACGTGAAGAGAATGAGTCGGGGGAAACATCAAAGGGATTTTTCAGGCCCGGTTACCGGGACAACAGACATTTGCATGCGATTAGCTTTTTACATCATATTAAGAAGGGTTAGGGTGAGGGAGGGGGTGATGCGGGGAGGGGGGGCAGGGAACTATAGATCATACACACACACACACACTGTATGAGATAGTGAGAGAGACGGGGGGGGGGGGAGAGAAAGGAAAAAAGAGGGACGTTGGTCATCTCACGCGGATAAACTGACTTATAGGCAGCCAGCCAAGCGTTTCTTTTGTAAATGAGAGTGCATGTTGGAGGGAGATACAGTAATATGCCGGCACAGACATTTTGGGGAAGGGAGGTCAGAGCAGGCAGTGTGTGTGTGTGTGTGTGTGTGTGTGTGTGTGTGTGTGTGTGTTTTCTGCTTTCAATACAAGTTGACAAATGATTTAAAGCACTCAGAAACAGACTCCTAAACATGAACACTGATATCAGCTTTACAGCACGATTACCGACACAAATTCATCAATATGTATTTTTTTCACTTTGGTTTAACCCGAAAAATGTTGTTTGGCAGCACAACATACAGTCAGACTTAATGGTAACAGCAATGATTAAATAGATCTTGGATAAAAGAAGCGGATGTGATGTAAAACTGATAAAATACCGTTATAATGTTTCCAGATAAACTGTTCCTTTATGGGTGGAGAAAATTCCCCTACTCCTTAAGTTACGTAAAGCGCTTGAAAACCCAATTGGATGAGCAGATTAATGCATTGTCGCAAAGCCGAAAAACCCGGGCTGACATTTCAGAGATTGATGTCTTTTCACAGGGCGGTGACCGAAATGCTCTAAATACACAGCGTTCTTGATAATAGCCACAAGAAACGGATCATTATTTGTACCCGATACGTCCTCAAACTGCACATAACAGACCAGCATCATGAACCCCACACATGTCTAGACACAGGTATGCATGAGCATCACATATTTGTCCTCCAAAATGGATCCACGTTACACAATAAACACTTTGTTGTTTGCACTCACACACACACACACAGACAGTGCATGCATCAAAAAAAAAAAAAAAAAAAAAAACGCACCTCACACAACCTTCCCTGGAATAATAAAAGCCATTAAACATGTTTCTATGGGCACACACCCTCTGGCATTTTACACATGTAATATTATCCCACCACATCTCTCCTCCACCTCCCTCCTTCCTTCCTTCTTTCCTTCCTTCCTTCCCTCACTCCTGTCTCTCCATCAATCCACATCCTCAACCCTTCCCCTCCCTCTTTCCTCTCCATCTCCATCTCTTTCCGTCTCCCTTTCCATCCATCCATCTTCCTCCCTCCCTCCTGATCTCCAGCTCTCCCTCATCATGTCTCTCCTCCTCCTTTTCTTCCATTCCTTCATTTCTTTCTCTCTGGCCTTCTCTCTCTCTCTCTATCTCTCTCTCTCTCTCTCTCTCTGAGTGTGTGATGCTTCAGTGCCCTCTGTATTGTGGCTGCATTGTGCCAGTAGGCGTCGCCGCGACAGCCGTTGTCACGGCAGCATTGTGAATGGGGTAGGGGTTGATGGTGTGTCTGTGGGGGTGAGGGGGGGAGTGTATTACAGTATCAATACCCTGACACTGCGACAAAAAGGACAGCAGCCGTAGCCACATATCACTCCACCTCTGCACTCCTCCTCCTCCTCCTCCTCCTCCGTCGTCTCCTTCCTCCCTCCCTCTTTCCTTGAGACCCCCCCCCCGCAGCGCCTCCGCCTCCCCCCAAATCAATTCCCCCTCCCCTCCTTTCAATTGATTTCCCACCGTATCTCACTGAATATGTACGTATTGATCCCCCTCCTCCTCCTCACCCCACCTCAGCCCTCACTCTTTTCTTTCTCTCCCTCTCTTGTTTTTGCTCAAGTATCTATCAGATTTCACCCCCCCCACCCCATCTACGCCCCTCCACCCTCTGTCTCACACACACACACACACACACAAACACACTTTCCTCATCTTTCATTTCATCTCCCCTATTCTCTCCCTCTGTGCCATCTCTTCTGCCCCCCCCCCCCTCACTCCCTCTCTCCATCACACCTCCCACCCCGCCTCCCTCTCTCCCTCCCTCACGGCTGGTTTTTTTGTTTTTGTGTGTGTTGTGTGTTTGTGTGTGTGTGTGTGTGTGTGTCACCGTCTCACTCACTCCCTGCATATTAATTGGTGCATTTCTGCTGCGGCGGAGAAAACAATCAAAGCGTCAGGGGCGGGTGATGATGCCATTGTGGCAGCCGCAAACACGTACACATATGTACCGTGAGCATACGCACAAACACAAACAGATAGCAAGGGGGGGTGGGGTGGGAGAGACACACACACACATACACACAAGGCCGAGACACATAAGTTCAGTTGCAGAGACACATTAACAGAAAGAGAGTCCATACATCACCTCTGTATATAAGCTGCTGATGTCCAAAATGTGCTCTCACACACACACACACACACACACACACATATGGCACACATTGATTTACTATGTACACACGCTGAGACAAGCATGCACTGCACATGTGCCACAGACTTAGTCAGTCACTCTCAGATACACAATGGCAGGCTTACAATGGCTGATCCAGGAGATATGTTCTGCGTCAGCAAAGACATTTGAATTTCACAGCCAACGTTTACCTTCACACAGCGTTTCGGCACGTCGCATTTAAATATTAAAAACCAAGGCCTTTAGCCGAGCAAACGCTCAGCCGTATACAATTCGTATCTCTCCCATAATTCGGGGAAATAAAAAAGCAAACGCACGGAGGCAGAGGTTACATGTAAATACCGTGTCATTAAAAAGAACAAACTCACAGTGAGAGAGGGAAGTAAACAACATGTCAAGGTCAACATTTCAGCTGGCTTTTGTTATTCTCCAGTATGTTCTGTATGTTGCTCTGTAACTCTCTCTGATAAAAGGCAGCAAGGTGGCGGAGGAGGCGCGTGGGCCTCACCGCTCCACGAAGCGTCCGAGCCCACGTGCTGCAGATTCGCCTCTTTGCTCTGCTGTGTTGAATGCAGCACTCGAGACGTTAAAATGCTGTTGTGTGGATGGAGCAGATAATAAAATGGTGTAGGTCTAATGTAAATACTTAAAAGATCAAATGAACTGGATGCAACTTAATATGACCAGCATCTGGATATGCATTCAACCGGATTCCAATTGAATCTGATGTAGAGTTCTTCATCTGTAGGCAACAAGTCTTTACAGCCGCAATTTCTTTACTCAAGGTCCAGTCCTCAGTTGTCGCTCAATGCCCTTCACATCCCAGTTCTCACATCATTGGTCCGCTGCTTACAGTAGAGCATTTTCACACCACCACATGGCCTGAAATGTGAAGGCCTCACTAACACACGGTCTCACTATTCTGCTTATGAATGACGCAGCAATTCAGAAGTCATTTAGCGTTTTGCCTATTTTTTTGCGCGTCATCTTGCGCCATGTGGTCTGTGCTGGCTGTGACGTAAACGCATACGTGATCATGCTACGCTCAGAGGAAGTGACGTAGTAGAAAAAGTCAGAAAGACTGTGGTCTTTATGGGACACAGGGAGTCGAGTGGGTCAAACAAGCACAGGACTCTCAACCAGGAGACCAGTGTTCGTGTCCCAAAGTGTGGAGTTATTTTTAAGTTATGTTAGCGTAGCCTGTGACGTGTTTTCGGTACTTATGTTGCGTTGTTTGCATTTTACTTAACTTTTAAGCCCAGCCATGATATTTTGGTTTTGTTGCCTGAACCTAACTTTGACCGTTGCACGGTAACAACGTGGCGTAAAATGACACTTGAAAAGCCAAAAACACGAGCAATGTCCCTAAAATGTCTACGTGCTATTTATACGCCTTCCCATGAGATCGAGGTTCGAGCAAAAGTCTAATAACATTGAATCTGAGGACTGCAACTAATGTGAAAGGGGTCACTCAAAAGTGTTGAACCCACAGAGAATTAACACCTGACTGTCTCTCACCGTCTTTTCTTTGACTTTTAAAAGACCTAATAACTGTGGATTAGCATGTCATGATTTCTGAAAAGAAACATCGCTGTTGAGTTTTTCAAATGTATTTTTTGGTGCTTTGAGCCGAGTGGCAGATAGTTCCATCATAACGGAGAGAAGGCCGACATCTCCAAAACTAGGCAACTAACGGCAAAACAATTGACATTGATAACCAGCACTACAGGTAAGAAGAAAAACGTGCATTTTGGGTCAAACTGTCACAACTGTGTTTTTCTCATTGTAACTTCACTCGTCTGTTTGACCTGTGGAATGATGCATGTGCAGCTTTAGACACTTGTTTGAAGGAGGAAAGTTTCTCTGTGCTCAACTTGAATCTGATTTCACGACGCGGACGTACGGAGCAGGTTTTTCTGACGTCACGACTGGAAGTGGAACCCATTGTAAGCTATCTGAACAGCAACAAATGGCAGACAAAGTTAGCGACTAGCTGGTAAAGAAAGACAACTATCTAACAGGTCAACTTAAGAGCTACAATTCATCAGGTGGTCAGAAACATCATTGCAAAGGGACGATGAAGTTACTTCATGTCTGCTGGGTTTGTGGAAAGGCAAAAGTTACCCGAGCCAACGACTCTTTAAGACGTCTTTCTATTCTTCAAAAGGTGATACTTCTTCTGCCTTAAACTGGCCCAAAATCGGTGAACAAAGCTTTGTAGCTTTTTCAGAAATGTTCAACTTTGAGCACAGCCAGCTTCGTCAGGCCACGCCCCATTAATAAGGGGACAAATAGGATGACACCAGGGGATCTGTTTTTTTGTGTGCTATGTTGATTCGGGTATGTGGGTTGGAGGAGGCGTGCACCTGCCACAGCTAAACCTTTTGGCAAGTGAAAAAAAAAAGTGGGCGCAGCCATGTGCAAGGGAGTGTTTTTTTAAAGATCAGGACAATGCGGAACACTGTATGTGAAGCCATTAGTTCCTATGAGTGCTTTTACTTTTGATGCTTTAGTGCAGAGTGCAACTGCACTTATTTTACTTTGAGGAAGTGATACTTTCCCACTGCTGCTATTTTGGCCGGGGACCCCCCCCCCCCCCCTGGAAGCCCTTCCCTTCGGGGACTCCCGGTGGTCCCTGGACCTTATGCTGGGAACCCTTCATCCAAATATGTGCACTTTGTGTCAACCATTCCTGGAAGTGGCCATGTGCTTCCGGGGTGGCTCCCACAACATCTCGTCCCTGTCATCACTTTTTTAACACACTTCAATTGGTGTGAAACTTTTTTTGTTTTGTTTCCAACCTTCCTCTTCTCCTCCTTCCCAGAAAAAAAAAACAGGTCTCTCTAAAGTGTCAGCTACCCGCCACCCCAGATGCCATATTTAGGATACAAATGTGAAGAGATGACAGCGCTGTAAAATGGTGCCCGTGCCGAGATTATAATTAACATTTCCCAACCTACATCACTCTCCCTCCCACTTCTCCTCCGCTGCTTTCTCCCTATTCACCCACTCCTGTGCAATAAATGGGGGGGGGGGGGGGGGGGAAATGCAAGAAGAAAGGAGAGAAAGGGAGAAGGAAAAGAAAGGGAGAAGGAGGAGGAGAGAGAGAGAGAGAGAGAGAGAGAGAGAGAGGGTGACCAAACTGAGGGAGGAGGGAGGGGGAAACGGCGTATGCTTGTATACAACCCTGATTTCCATTTTTTTTCCCAACTCGTAATGTATTTAATTCAAGTGAAACGTAATCATGACGTGTCGTGTCATTAATCTCCTCGCCGCCTCTCCCGTAAGTACACTGAGTCTTTACTTTCAACATATATCCGATATCTTCCTTTATCTAGCGGGGATTTTATCCACCACTCTGTTGACATGTACACTTTTATGCGCGGTGGCACGGAACACCGGGGATGAAACATTTCCAAAAATTTGTTGAATTTATTGCGACTGTTGTTGCCTCTCTCTCTCTTTTTTCTTCTTCTTTCTCTCCCTCCACGAGCAACACACGGGATAATGGCCAATATAGTTGTTGTGTTTTATTTGCAGTTTGGATGCGGAGGCTATGTGCGCGCGCGCGTGTGAGTGATTGGCATGAAGCATGTATGTACGCATGCATGCATGCGAACCGCGCGCCCTCCGTCCGGGAACACTTTTACGTGTGTGTCATGTATGTAAGCCGGCAGTATGGTGCGCGCGCGGCCGACATTGAATGTAGCATATATCCGATATAACCCAGTGACATGACAATAAACGTTTTTATTTACAAATGCGCTGTTTTCTCGGCGTCATTCGGCGAACACTCGGTGCAACATTTGGAAGAAGTGGATTCGGCGAGTCAACGCGGAATTAAACGCGACTTTAAAATGGTTGCAAGAGCACCAAAAGTCCCTCGGAGTGGTTCAGGATTCTATCCTTTAAATTCGCCTAACTTTAAAACCAAGTTCTGCTTTCGCGAGCACTTATTTTAAATCCACGCGAGGGGAACCGGTTGTGAAATTCGGCAGCGTTATGACCTCTTCTTCTTTATCCCGTTTTAACCTCTCTGGGGGGAATAAAACGACGTTTGCCCCCCTTTAAAAAAAAAAAGTAGGTTTTTACAAAAAAAGAAAGAGGCACAAGTTCCCGGTGCGTAACGGAGCGTTTCGATAAGCCGCAGACATATTGTCCAGGCGTAAAAGTGGATTTTTTTTTTTGCATACTAGCGAGTTGATTTGCAATAATTTGTGGGGTGGATGCGATTAGCTCGACTAATTCTTTTGCTGGACACACACATTAAGCATTGTGTAGTGCATTGTTTTCGAGATAAGCGCCGCCACTTTCATCTGGGATGTGCGCAAAAAAAAAAAAAAACCCAAAACGCATCCTCGGGCCGCAACAGTGTTTTATAAACGTTATACTTTCTCTCTCCTCCCCCCACCCACCCTCCATACCTTTTTACTACGATGTTTACTACGACGCGTATACTTGTCCTAACATCACCTCCAGCGTCCACGAGCTCAGAAAGTAGCATAGCAAGTGTGGCATGTAACCGTGTGTGTGTGTGTGTGTGTGTGCGTGTGCAAAACGCGTGTTGCCAGATTGCATTCTGGAAAGAGAAGTTACCACGTTTTCAGCCCCGGTTTAAAAAAAAAACAACAACACAAAAACACAAAACAAAATGAGCGTATTTTCGGGACTGATGTCGGATTTGGGAGATTGGCAGAGCACTCGAGATGAAATCCATGATGGCACTTTCTCCCTCTCGTCTTTTCCCCTCCCTTAATCTTTTGTATAGAAAATTTAAGAACAAAATGGAGCAGGGGAGAGAGCGATAGATAGGCTGACATGACACTCACACGCGCCACCCCCGACTTCTCCAAACTACATCCCACTGTTTAGGATTTTTAATCGCATTTTTTTTGTTATTCTTGGAAGCGAGGTATGTGCGCGGGCACCATCTGCTCGCCGGGGTTAATCTCGTTATTTTTTTTAGTGTGGGGGGGGGTGTTTATTAGCGCATTGTTTGTTGATGGTTATTTATTTCATTAATGTGCCTCTAATTGAGATGGCCGCGAGAGAGAAGAGGGGAAAGAGCGACTGAAAATGGTTGCACGTTATTGACGCACATCACAGGGGCGAGGAGGAAATTCCTCATGAGATAAGGCGCAGACGTGTCATCTGGGTTTGACCGAAGACACTCCTGTCGCCTTCTTTTTCTGTATCCAATGGAATATGTTTAGTGATCCCGAAATGGCCTATTTCTTTTTTCTTTTTTTTAAAATCCACCCTAAATGTCACACTTCTGAGAACGTGTGCATAGTGGAAGTAGGTTGACATTGCTGGCTCGTCCTACAAACAGGGAGGTTGCTGAACTCTTTTTTTTTTGTTTTATTTTTACACATATTCTCTAAATTAAATACACCTTAACATTATATCTGAACACATATCTTGTGATTTGAAAGCAGATGATCTGAAATAATGAGTGCATTATTGTCAAAATTGCTGATTTTTATTTGCTCACTCGAGTGACTTTTTTTAAAAATTGTAATCAACGATGCCACTGAAATCTTATCCTCGTCCAGCCTTCGCCGGAAACTAATAAGACAAGCATCTCTGTGATATAAAAAAAACAACTAAACCTGAGAAGAGTCACCTCTCCGGTGGGAAAGTATCCCTCCACAGGAACATCTACTGCAAGTACTCATCAGGAGCCCACTGTACTAACGAGCGTGAGACGCTGCCCCCCCCACCCGTGTTAGAAAGAGTCTAATGGTTCTGCTTCATTCAGACTTCTCTTTGCTTGTTGTGCTCAAGTAGTATCCTCCTCCTCCTCCTCCTCTTCCTCCTGCCCACCTTTGTACGTACTCTACTGTGCTTGAGGGGGGCACATACACCCCATCCAGGTGGCTCTTGGGTAAAGGGATTGTATGTGAGGGAGAAAGAGACGGAGAGACTAAGAGGGAGAGGAGTGTAGCACCAATCAAGGCCTCTGATTGATATAATTGGGTCATTAGTGCGCTGCGGGAGAGGCACCTGCTTGCCCTCAGTTAGGAAGAAGCTACTGCATTGTGACATTTTCAGACCGTTGAGAGTTCTGCTGCCTGCTCGGGATTAGGGTGTATTTAGAGCACTGGGGTCTTACTTAAATAGTACATCACTTTGTGCCACTTGAGTTTTCGCAGACCGGTTCCAAACTTGATTTTTAATCGGACAGGTAGGTGGGCTCACTTGTGTCCGCTCAGACCCGGTGCACGTTCGGGCTCAAATGGAGTCGTCGTTTCGACAGCAAAGCGAGCTAAGCTAAGCTAAGCTAAGCGGGTCACGGCATAGGTAGAAAGGGAGGGTGGGCCCACAGTGGTCCGATCATCAAGAGACGGCGAGCCTGAAGGTTAGTTAGAGAGGCGGAGCTCCCAACAGTGTCTGAAAACCCCGTCCACTCACACTTTTACCGTGTGCATCTCACTTCCTTTTAGTAACTTTCCAAAATTGACAATTTAAGCATGCGGCATGCAGCCAAAGGCCAGATCTTACTGTAAGGATGTGAGAAAGGAAGGCAGTTTTTAACCGAGTGCAGCTCTACCAGGTCTGACCGAAAGTGCGCGCCGTTATCCCCATATTTGAACCGTTATCTCAGCTCTATCGCCCTGCCATTCGGACCAGCTATGAGCTCTTTTTGCTTTCAAATGTGGTCGGACAACACAGAGCAGTTACCTCCCAGCCCACATATGGCATACATACCGCCAAGGTGCCCTTTGTGCGAGGTGCATCACCGCAAATTACACCTTTTGTTGTTGATCTAAGTATTGACACTCCCATGTGACTGTGCACATACAGTGAAAGTGCAATCGAGTGTGCATGAAACAAGTTGTTGCTAAGTAAGAGAACTCATGCTCTGCAAATTTCCCCCGGGGCCGAAAAAAAAGAATCAACTCGTGTTAACGTTTGGAATCGGTCTGTCTGAGATATGATACACATATTGCACAAGGAGGTCACGGTGTCGGGTCAGCTAGGGGCTTGTGGGTAGTCTGCGTTTTGCTCGAGGGGCACTTCACAAAGAAAGGGGGCGGTTATAGCTGACGAGTTTCGCTACGCACATTTGTATTTTTGATTGAAAATTAAAAAACAACGTGTTGGCGTTTGCATGATTGCCCCCCCCCTTCCTTTGCTTTTCCTCTCAACCCCTGCAGGTGATCTTCAGTGTGCACAGATAAGCCTTTTAGAGAGAACACATTCAGTGATTTGCTTATGACATTTGCATGCTCCAAAGCCATTCTTTTTTTAAAGGCCTCAATCCTGTAATCCTGAAAGAGACGAGTCAGTCAGCACCCCCCACATCGGTTTAGACGCAGCGCGGCCCGAAACGACTCGGAGTGGGAGCCACGCTTCTCTGCCCGAGACGCCGCCACGTTTTCCGACGTTCGGAAGTCGCTCGGGGATGCGGCGGCGGCGCGTTGCTCCCAATTGTATCCGACAAAGAGCAGGAGCAACAGCTAGAGAGGAGACAAGTGGAGGGCAAGGTAGAGGAGGAGAAAAAGGAGGTGGTGGGGTTCAGGCAGGAGGAAACCCGAAGGAAAGCAGTAGGACAGCGTTAAATTCACAGAAGTAGAGCAGGAGCCGCCCCGGATCTAGCAAAAAGATGAAAGAGCTGAGGGACAGATTGAGAGTCCAGGGGCCTGAAAGTTTCCCATCAAAAAGATCAATATATCGCTATTTGAAGGACCACAGGCGCCTGCAGTTTGGTTTTGAAGCAGAAGTAAGTCCTTCGACAGCAACATTACTGCCATTCTCTGACACCCAAAAAATGGATACGCAAAAAATAAAAGTTTCAGTCCACGAGTCATATCTTTAAAGAGGCAAGGGGGGAGACCTTCCTCCCGATCACTGCTGAAGATGAGGGGAAAGGGGGGAGAGAGCACCAGCCAGACAGAGTTGGAGCAAAGCAGGGAGTGAAGCAAGGGGGTTCAGGGAAAGGTGAAGTAAAGGAAATGAATACCGTCTGTGGGGAAGTTCGCCACGTGATAAAAACCGCAGGACCACATAGCACTTTCCCACACAGGGAGCGGACTCCCCCTTGCTCTACCTCCCTCAGTCGCTCGTCCTCTCTTTCATACGCGCTTTTTATTTTCTTTTCTTGTGGTCAAGTCTCTCAAAACACCCACTTATCCCCCGAAGGACGCCTCACCTCGCACACGCTTCATCACATGAGAGTTCAAGTAATCCAGCTGGAAGATGAGGTATCACTTGTGAGGATTTCGCTGAAGCGCACACACACACACACACACACACACACACACAAGCACACACCTGGACCTACGCAGCCTCCAGATAGAGTGTTCACTTTACGCCCTCGGGCCCAGGCCGGAGACCTTGAAGGTGCCTATTTTTAGGGCCGTGGAGGAGGACGTGTGCAACACACACACACACACACACACACACACAAACACAGGCCCAGATAAGAAGACAAAAGCAGATGGTGCGTACCCTTTTTACTCTTCAGTGCCCCCCCCCTTCCTCCCTAAGGGGTCACAAAATAAATTGAGATGATTAACAAGCTTGGAAAGAATAAAACGCATATTTATGATGCAGATATTGATGCCTCTCGTCAGATCTTTTCTTTTTTTCTTGTGATATGCTGCAGCCCTCCATCAATTATGAAGACCATTAACATGAAACAACCTAAGCAGGGCAAATCACACTCTAAAGAGCCCACAGACTTAATTATGCAAACTGTGACGAGTCGCTGCAAGTATGTTTCGCTCGGCTATAAAGGCAAACAAGCCAACAAGAAACAGGCAGTGGACGGCATACGCACGCCCTCTTAAAACACAGCACATAACGTCATGTTTAATGTAAAGCAGAGCAGATATAGTACTTCCCGCCCACACACGCATGCACACACACAGTTTAAAAACACTAACTGAAAGGTGTTCACATCCTTGCATGCACAATTGTGGTGTGTGGCGTTCTGGCGTGTCCGAACATGCACTAACTGCCTTCACTATAAAAGCTGTACCACTCTGTGGATATGTACATAATGACATCAAACCCCCCCCAAAATAAACTTGTCTGAACATATTGTGCTCCTACTCCCTCTGCAACTATTTATCGAGGCTGTGATGTATGACTCAGCAACCTCCCCCCCTCCGATCTTATCCTTAACACACACCTTGTGACACAAGTGCAGGAGTAGTTATCGGCATTTAAACAACGCTGATTTCGCTTGGATGGGCTAAAAATTGACCCCCGTCATAAAAACTAATTTCCACTGAAGGTAATTCAGTACTTTACATCAGTTATCTCAGTGGCCACAAAGTTACTCTGCAATTACAGTAATGACACCATCATGGAGATGCTCAACACAACAAGGATATGCTTTTAAGCTGTCATTACCGTGTGAATTGCAATGCTGCACGTACACTGCATATTTCAGGGTCAGAGACAAGGCAGGGGGGGGGGGGGGGGGGAGTCTCTAAAAGAGCAGTTTAAATCTAGTATTTTTCTTTCTCCATACTTTATTTGTATCTCACATCAAGACCGACTGTATGATGTTGGTGGATCACATTACCATGATGATCTTTTCAGTAAAAAAGCAACTTTAACACCAAAAAGGGGCAGTTTTTTCCTTTGCAAAAAACTGCCGCACGCACGCATCGGTCCTTTGTACGTCTTTTAAAACGCGACAAACCCTGCACAATCAATTTTTGTGCAATCGCGTACAGAAGTGCTCAAATATGCAGATTGGGAACGATTCGCATTCGTTGGTAATGTGGACTAATGTCCGCGGTTGGTTTCTACCATCGGAGGCTGGTTCTTCACTGCTTTTCTTGGTTCATTAACACCTGGGTTTCATTCTGCTCCACCTGATTCCGATCCCATTTGTCGTCCCTAACCCCCCTTTTTCCCCCTCCATCCATTGCTCCACCTTATCGCCTCCTCTCCATCTATCCAAATTTTCTATGTTGGCATGACAGGGGCCGGTGGTTGGCGACAGCCACCGTCACGGTGCGAACAATGCATTGTGATGGTGATATTCATATGATAATGCCATCAGACGTAGCACTGCCGCAGATACGTTGAGACAAGTCTTTCCCCTTTCTGTATCTCTCTCAGTCTGTCTGGATGTATATTTGTGTGTTGACTCTTCAAACGATTTTTTTAAATCTGTTGTTCTCTTCATGTTATGCCCCTCCACCACTCTTGATTTCTCTCCCCTTCTCTGCTCCAGCATGTCTGTCTCTTTACCCTATTTTTCTTTCCCCCTTTCCCCTCAACAACCACGCTGGCAATCGCATTAAATCATTTTCATTCACATGGCTTCTGACAATGTTTTTTTTCCCTTCTTCTTCTTCTGTTGCCCAGTTTGTAACAGCACTGTATGTTTCTCTCCGTCTCTCTCTTTCTTTCCCTCTGTCTGCCTCCTTTCTCATTTTTT